TTTCATGATTTCTACTAAAATTTTTCTTAGTCTGTCTCATAATAATCATAAGGGAATTAAATATAAAAAGAAAAACTACTTATTCATTTAATTGAATCACGTATTTGATCTTTGAATGCTATTTAAAAGCTTACACAATGACAGAGAAACGAAGAGTTTATTTTAAAGTTCAATTAGAGACCGAAACAATGGACAGAAGCAAATATGTTTGAATGTATTGAAGCGATAAAAGAATGGTTTTTCCTATATTGATTTCAATAGTGCAATGTGTATTGGTATGTTCTCATTTCCGACAATTCGTGGTGTCTAGAATCGATTCTTAAATCAGGTTCACATATATGATTTATTAAACAATTAAACTCAATTATGATGATTAAATGGAAGTTTTTATTTAGGAATCGGATACTGCTATCTAGCATTGTTACAACTAAATCCATGTTACTCACTAGTTTTACAACAAAAAATTCATTCAAATGTGGATATAACAAGAAATATTCATGTAAAGCCAAATTATTTACTCATCATGAATCAAAGTTTCAAAAATTATGATGTACTCTGTGAGAAAATGAACAGTGACTATATTAGAAACGAATAGTCTTGTATTTTTTATTTACATTGAAGATTCGTAGAAAAGGAGGAAATAGCAACAAGTCATTTTACAATCTTAAACCATCAACAATCTGCTTTTTCACATGATTTCCAATGATTTATTTTTGACTTTCAGATGAATTAAATCAATTGTGTCTTCCCTTGCCCTGACAAATCGACATGGGGCTCAAGTGATTTCGTATAATTCCAAATGATTTCATTTGATTTCAGTTATTGAAAAGCTTTAGACTAGCGATTATCAACATAAGCCAGCATATTAAAGGACAAATTACACTTGTGGAGTTATTTCAGAAAGGACATGCCAAACAGAAATTTCCATATTTGAAGTATATTTAATAGTATCAAAATAATTTGCTGAAAGATTATTCGATGTTAAGGATTTTCTATGATAATTTTCTATAATATAATGATACTGCGAGCACATATCTATTGAAAAAATTTCATCGCATACTTCACATTTCTTTAATATGCAATATAGCGAAAAAGATCGGACAAATTTGAAAAGGGTTTGCCTTAGTTGTTTCTATCAGATAAGTGAGCATGGATGATAGTTTGTAGAATTCTAAAGATTTTTCATTGGAATAGATGTAGAAGACACATCGTCACCATAATTATGTGGTATAGTGTTCATTCCAGACTATGGCAGAAATTCAATATTTCACACTTTTAAAACGATCATATTTGAATACTACTCAATGCATATCGAAATGTATTTTGAATATTAAAGGAACGTGAATCATGCAAGTATTAACGATTTTCACTGGTATTATACTTTTATCAAGTAAGATGATTAGCTGTATTGCGTAAATATTTTGTCAAAATAACCATTCAAATGATATAAAAAGAAACACATGTCTTTATCGACTTTCGTCATACTTTATAAGCTACTCCTTACATTTTTTTGTAAATTAGATGCACTACAATGTATTAGACAAACTGTAAACTGTTACACGTGTAACGATAACGGTAGGTGCACTGATCCATTTAAGCCAGACGGTGTACCACAGCAACAATCGACAAAGGGATGGTGTTGAGTATGTCAACGCTTTTTGTTTTCGCAAACGACAGACTAATCTAACTCCAACTATCCTTTTTTTTAATAGAAAGGCAAGGGAACGATAAATGGTGTGGAAGGCGTTACCTGAGGTCCAGCAGCAACAGCTTATCTCAATACTCTTGGTATTTCTGCGTGTTCCCAGAATAAGTGCGAAGACATAGATAACAACAATGTAAAAGGTATATCGTGCTGTTGCAACACAAATCCATGTAATTTTGGTACACGTGCGACTGCTGGCTTTGCTGCAACTCTTTTGAGTGCATGCCTCGTCGTAGTGGCTCTCATTTTCAACCACTGAATTCTTTCTAAACATTATTTTTTTCTTTTTAACCGTACATTTTTATTCAAGATGCTTTGATACGATTATTTATTCTCTTTTTATAAAGTGTTCAAAAGAGGCAACCTTCTGACGTTGCTACTGTACTTATATTCAACTAAAAACAATCATTGAATCCATTTTCAATTTCGATCTGTAATCTTTGAGCACTGTTTACTGGTCCATTTATTATAGTTACTAAAGAAAGATCATCAAAAACATTAGAATTTAACAAAGAATGTATGTGATCGCAATAATTTCATAATAGTAATAAGTAGCAAATAATGACCTATAATTTTAGCAATCAAAATCGCGAGAGCACGAAGATCTAATTATCTGCAATCCAATAATAAAAATGACTTTAAAATTGGTTGTCATTCAAAAACATTGAGAAAAACCTAATGAAATGATATTCTGTTCTTAAGTAAATTCGATCGTGACACACGTTTTTTGTAGAAATTCATCATCTTCTTACACGTTAATATCACATACAAGAAATATCATTTTTATTAAGTGAAACTATAGAGAATTTCCGTGATTGAAGATAATCTTCGTTTTGCATTTGCCGTTGTCAAATATCGTTTACGTTTTGAGAATAAAATTGATGTAAGAGAATGGTCTTCGAATGGTTGTCAATTTATTGATGCTAAAAACATTGAAGTAGGCGTTGTAAATCTTATCTGTTGTAACTCGATATGAGTATATATGCCAATGATGACTATGGAGATGTACAAAATCATTTTGTTAATTCAAATATTTTGCCTATGGAATCGAAGCCTTGCTACGATTGAGTCTAAAGTACTAAGATCAGTGCTTGGTTTGAATATATAACTATAGCATTAGTCGTAGATCATATTGAGTCATATAGAACTTGAAGCACCTACGACTTGCTTTTGCCGAAATTCTAAATTTAGAATAATATTACAATGACTAATGCTCTTCATTTCAAATAAACTCTTTCTCTGAAAATAAATACACATACAAATATCATTTATCTAATTCTCTAGAAACAAGATACTTTTAAGCAACACCCTCAAAAACGATTTAGTATTCATGTTGCAAAACAACACTTGAATTTTATTCTTAAACGAAAATAACTTCAACGATGATAACAAATCTAATATATAGAGTATTGCGCAGATATAAATAAACGATATTTAACTTTGTAATACTTAAAACTCTATCTAAGAATTTCATACAGTTCTAAGGACTTAACAACGTCTATAAAGAGAAACAATATAATGAGTTTGTTAGTACATAAAATTCCTTGTTGAAGAAAAAAGAAACACTTGTAATTCAAGCAAATGGTTTTAGAATTTGTCTAAGTTTCATTCAATTTTGTTTAATCAATATTCACATAACCACTCACACGTATATGATTAAGTCATTCAGATAACTGTGCAATGACAAATGTCTGCCGTACTAGATGTGCTGAATATCAAAAGAAGAGAAACTTCATTGTTATATTATGGTTCTAGAGACCAGATTATTATTTTAAAAAACTTAATATTTGAATGAAAGTTTTGCTGTAAAACGAGTGGACAACATATATTTAGTAGATGCGATGTTAATTTGTGATAGAGTATGTATAGCACCTTGTACATGTAAAATCTTTAAGTCCTGAGTAAAAGTTCCTATTTGAACACTACAATTTGTAGAAAATCATTTCCGCTTGTCATAATGTATAATATAATAAGCACACGGAAATATGGACAACCAGATTCTCGGAGTCCATTTTTTTTCTCGAATGTAACAATTTCAATCTCTCATCAAGTACAAATAATATCACATACTTTGTGTTTATTGAAGATGTAATTGTTTGATCATACTATAATCGACAGTATTCTGACTAGTATTGCTAACAATTGTCATTAAGTATCTACTCAATTAAAATCATTTTACATGATTAAAATGTGGTTGAATTATACATTGATACACTAATATTTGTTTTGCTTCATTGCATTTCACCAAATCGATACTTACGATTCTCAATTTTTGAAGTAAAATTAACTACACTGATAAAAATATTTCAATGAGCATCCTATGTGACAAACTATCTTTTTCTTTGTCGATCGTTATTTTAATTTAAATATATCCAAAAGAAAATCTCAAGCAAAACATTTTTAGTTAACTCTTATTATTTATTACAATTATTTTAATATATTTCAAAATCTATGCTAATTTCAATTCAATAAAGCAGTACATATTGTCGTGTTCTTTGTATTATAGTTAAATAAAATTTCTTAGTACATGGTCGAATAGATTCCCAATCGGCCAGTTTCTATACTTCAAGATTCAGGAAGTGTTCAATTTGGCTCCCTCATACATACGAATATCTTCAATTTTTCTATAAAATGTACTTTGACCTTGAAAAAAATTAAAACATAGAGAAAAGTTTTTTTTTGTATACAGTTTTTTTTATTTATCCTTCAGATTTTCTGATAGTTTCACTAAGTATTCGACCTTTTATTTATAACAGAAAGAAATCTTTTTTTATTTATCTAAATTAATATTCTTAGCATAGTAGAATAAAAATGCAAATTTCGCGTAACAAAATTCTGCAACAGAGATTATGCTAGAACAGAAACAATCTCACGAAAAATCGAAATTTTTATATGCAATTTCCATTTTTGAATTTAACTATGCAGCATAATGTGATATTCTCATTACATGTGAGCCAATACATTATTTTTGAGTTACCTTGAAAACGTTAGGACAAAAACTATTTAAAAAAAACTATGGGATACTTGTTGTATATAAAAACATATTCGTCTTAGTTGATGAATCTGACAGTTGTTTTGCACAAAACAATAGTAAGAGGTAAACAAACGGGTGTGCCTTGCTATTATGTATTTATTCAATGAAAAATATAAAATAAACATAATAGTTAGGCATATGGGGGTGTATTACATTATTACGCGTGAATGAATCCTTTCTAGATATTTTTCTTTTGTATTTATATATGCACATAATTCACGTTTTATTTCACATTAAGTTGATCATTTGACGAAAAGCACGATGTTTAGAGCTGCACAGCGTGGAAGTGGTTTACCTCCTCCTAAACCATCAGCTGTATGGTGGTGTAATGGTTGTCGTCGAACGAATCCTGGCCGGCGCTTCCAATGTACAGTATGCAAATATGGCAATACTTATGATCTTTGTGCTCAATGTGTCTCAAGAGCCGGAACACTACATCCACGACATCCTTTATGGAAGTACGATGACACTGATAATGCTAGCACTATTCATACTATATCATGATATTAGAAATTATATCGAATAGTGTAGTGATATCCTACGTAGTTAGTATTATTTTAGTGTTATAATTTTTTTAATCAAATAATAAATTGTTATATCAAGCAGAATATTCAGACAATGAATTGCACGAAAACTAACTATCGCTAATGAGTGCATAGATTTTGTGTACTTAACGACTACAAAGAATTCATTACCGACGACAATGAAGTTTTTTTTTTGTATTAATTTTAGGAGAAACATTTCATTTGCACTAAAACAAAATCCTACGGCAATAAAAATTTGAAAAACGAAAGATTAAAAATAAGTTAGAGTATGCTGATATTTGAATACTTCTCAGTAAAGAACATCTTGATCGTATCCAAAATACTACAAAATAGAATAAAATTATTCGGACACCCTGTAACGTCGACCCCGATTAGAGTATTCAATGATCATCATGTCCTCTTTTGCATAGAAAAATATTCTTTTCTTAAAACAGTTTTTCTAAGCAGTAGTAGGTTTTACAAGCAAAAAAAACAAGCAAGTTATTTGAACACTTTCATTTTTTTCTCTTTATCATGGCTCTATTTTGTATGCAAATAATTTGAATTACATGTTATTAAATAGAGAAAACATTTCTCTACACAATGAAATGTATAACAATTGAGAAAATGTGAAGACCATACCGAAAACACCGTGGGATTTACAGAAAAATGAAAATCCAATTCCAAATAAATCATTTGAAAGACAAAAAAAGAAAATGCTGAATCTAACTGCACATTTTGTTTCTCAAAAATCCTCAAATATCATTCATAATAATCAGTAATTAAAATTAATTTTCAATATACCTTGTCCAATATTCTTAAGTTTTGGGGAACTCAATCAAATTATTCTACAAGATAATATGCTTAGATATACAGTAGATATTTTCTTAAGACATGATTAATACTTATCTATTCACGTATAGTGTATTGTGAAAAAAGAATAAACCATTTCTTTCTATTCTGTTGCTTTATCGATACAATATCGAACAAACGACATTGAAACGTGTAGAAAATTGTTTTCTGTATCAAATGATATATGATTTCAATGCAGAATAGAACGATAACGAAGAAAAAAATAAAAGTGCACGAATAATTTTTTTTTGTGACATACTGTACGAGTGAAATTAAAATATGAATCAGGATGTCACTATTGTTTCGAATTGCATGAAAATCATTTTACTCAATCCAGTTTGTGATACATATTATCGTAAGAAGATCGATCATATGTTGCAGTGTAATCTTAGTGATAGGTAGTCTTTGATAGTATAATGACAGTATCTACATTCTACATGATGACCGTTAAACGCTCCCTCCTATGTATTTCAACGATTCGTTTAGATGGTATTTCATAAAATAGTGATCATTTGGGTTTTGAATTGACACTATTACAAGGTTTATCTATCATTTTCACGTTTGTTGATGTTGATTAGAACGAAGAACGTAAATGCATAGTATATTTTCCAAAATTAAAACGTATAAGTCTTCATTCTCTTATTTTCCAGGGTCAACATTTTTTTTTCTACGTTTACAACCAGATATCGAGGTCTATTCCTAAGTGAGACTAATTGCTCTAACTAACTAGAAAATGCATGTTCTAAGTTTATTTTCTATTCGAATAATCACTTGAAAGTATTTTTTTTAATGATGAATGAATATTTTCAAGTAAATAGCATACACGAAAAATGTTTAAATAACAAAAAACACATACGATCCATTAGTTCCAAAATCAGTTAATTCAAAATAATCATAGGCATCATCTACTTCACTAATACATAATAATTACTACAATATTCTATGCGTTAGAATATATATTTATTAGAACGAATGTATAATTGAACAAATACAAAAACAATATTTTTCTTCTACAATAAATATATATATTTAAATTTATTCATAAGAACAACTCTTTCACGAAAAAGTGGTGATCCTAAACAATATAAATAAAATCCAATACCAAAATAAATGCTTGACCAAATTAAAAGTATTGTACAAATTAATGAATTAGTATAGATATCAAATGTTCCATAGATAGTTTGTATGATGATATAAATATGAATTGGTATCTGTGTTACAATAAAAGTACCAAAACCAGTTAACATCGTATATAACTACATTCGATCAATTGATGTAATGGGTGTGGGTGTGGGTGTGTGGGTGTGGGGTGGGTATGGGTGTGGGTGTGGGTGGGTGGCTGTGGCTGTGGGGTGTGGGTGTGGATGTGTGTGTGGGGTGTTCTCTCCGATGACAGTCACATCGATACCGACAACCACATCCACACCCACTCACCCACACCCACCCACACCCACACCCACACCCACACACCCACACCCACACCCACACCCACACACCCACACCCACATCCACACCCACACACCCACACCCACATCCACACCCCACCCTGCAAGAGCACAAAGTCTTGAAAGACATTTGAAAAGGAACCGCAATATGCTTCTCAGTACTTAAAACCATGCATTAATATTAATATCAATAGTCTGCAATTATTAATATTTGTAATCTGATATAAAAGTATTCTATTGCATTGCACAATATTGACTAAATATAAACTACAAGTAAATTAGTCTTGTATTAATCGCATGTATAATTTAATGAATTCAAAAAGTCATATGTTCTAAATACTTATTAAAATTTGCTAATAAATATATTTTGTCTTGAAGAAGTAAATTAAGGAATAAATGAATTGCTTTCTTTATTTATTTGAGTGCATAAATGAGATACATCAGCAAAAAAATAGAAAATGTTTCAGTATAAAAGATATTCAGTAAAGTATTCTCTTATAGTTCTATTTATAAAAACAAGCCCCATTAATCATTTGAGATTTATCCGAAAGTAAAAATATAATTGGTTCAACAACATCTTCCACTTCTATTTAAATAAATTTATGAAAACAAAAAACTCAATGTATTTTCTTTACAAACCGGCAAATCTATTAAGTGAGATTTTGGATAACATCTCTGCAGATTTCTTTTCTTCAGACCAAGCTATGCAAACAAATAAATTGTTTAAAAATAAAAAAGTAAACATTTTCATAAATGCGAACCCATCCGATCCATATCTGTTAAAACAACCTATATAATACAAAGTAAAATCTGGCGAAATTTTTCTCACTACTAAATACTTACAGTTGGTTGTACACTATTAACTCGAATCTAAATTAAACAAACAGATATTTAATTATAATAATCTAAGAAAGTAATCTTTACTTGATGAGGACCGAATTTCAAAGCCATAACACGTTAAACCATCAACGGCTGATGCTTGACTTGATACATTAACAATTGAACCAGGTAATTTACGTTCAATTAAATCTCGTGCAATTTCCTATCAAATTACTTTTTTTAAAATTAAATCTTTCATCAATAAAAAATGCTTGACCGAACATTGACGATAAATAATCTTTGAAATAAAAACAAAAAACAAATCATTAGTTTTCAAATTCTGTTTTTGTATACGTACGTATCAAAATCTTCTTGTTTAACTTCTAGGAATGAATCACGAATAGAAATAGCAGCATTATTTACTAATAATTGAATAGGTAGATGTGGATTGATAGCTTCTTTTGTTGCTTTCCAATCACTTAAATCAACATATACTGGTACAATATTATTATTCTAATTAAAATCAAATGAAAATTATATTAAGAAAAAAAAACAAAAAGAAACTTTCATTATTATTACTTATGCAACAAGTTCTTTTAAATGTTCATCAGTTTTACTAACAGAAATAACTTTAGCACCTAGTTGAGCAAGTCGTAAAGCTAGTGATTTACTAATACCTTAAGATTTATTTTATTTCAATATATATAAGAATAAATTCATTTTTCATTAACAGACCTCGTCCAGCACCTGTTACACAAACAGTTTTATTTCGAAAATAATTTTCATCCATCTAGAAAAATTACCAATAAGAATAAAAAATAGACTAATGCAACAAATTTTCATAGAAAAATAATAATAATAATGAAGACACAAATTTTCATAAAGAAATCTAAATACGAAAAAAAAACAGAGAAATTTATCATGATAATTATTGACATATTTCATTATGAAGAAGAATTGCTAATAGACCAGCAAATGTTATTTCAAAGGAATAACCTATCGATGCAACACCCATTGAAAATTCTCGATCAGGTTCAGGAATCTAAAATGATCAATAGGTTAATAATTCAATCGATATCTTATAAAATGTATTGAGATAAGCTCCACCACCAATTAAACTTTCAAATACGACTAAACAGAACACTAACCATATACTTGGTATATGAGCCGTACGATAGACACAGGCAAAAAATATACCCAAATTACCAAAAACTGCTACGGATGAACGAGATAAGAAAACACCCAATTGATAACAAACCGAATACCTAATAGTATAGAATTTATATGATAAAAGTACTATATTTTACTTCAGAGACTGATGACGAGAAAACACTACCACGATATATAAACTGTACTTACCAACGATATTGAGCCGAATGTGGAATACTTGTATTACGAAAAAAGATCATTTTGTACTAAACGAATAAAATGGCTAAATTTATATTTATATTTACCCCTCCTTGATTGACTGAATATTCAGCAAAATAAACAATCATCAATGGAATCAATATTTTTTATTAATCACATACTTTAACAAGTTTAAGTCGATCTTTAAATTTTTCATCGTTCCATTTCCATTTATAATCTTTTCATCAACATTATCGTCTAATTAAAACAATGTGTGAACTTATTTGTTGATATTCTCTATGCTTTGCAGCAGTTTGACTAGCTCCAACCATAATATAACTTAACAAATCAAATAACTTTCATTTTAAAATAAACACATCTATGCTTATTTACCTGATAACTTGAAGAACAGGTATAAAAAGTAATATAAGAATAGCAGTTCTAGGACTTAGTTTAAGTAAACTTGTTAGTCCAGCATAAGAAAGAGCCCCTAATAAACCAGCAGCACCTGTACCACTTGACCATGCACTGACTGTATATTTTTCATAAAACGATGTTAATTGTAACATCGTAATTTCACCAAAACCTGCACTGATGCTTGCACAAACAACACCTTTGATTAAAACAATTTTCTTTCAATCTTTGTAAATACTATATCAATTAACTTACCGAATATACTTAAAGCAATTACTTTTGAAATTCTAACAATAATTAAAGCACTAGCAGCAAATAATACAATCAATACAAAACGAATACTTCAAGAGAAAAATAAATTCATTTGTTCGTATGGGAAAAAAACAACCAAAGAGCAATTAGCTTTTACTTATATAAAATTTTGTGCATAAAAAATGCAGCTGTTATTTTAATAACCAATGCTGGTAAAATATCTGCTAGTAGAATAATTTAAAAATAAATACTCAATAGTAATTTTTCATAAGATCTTATCTACTCACGCCTGTCGATATTGGATTACAATCAAATTGATTTGTTGTATTATGTGATACTGGTTGAGTTGAATTATCACTCTCTTCTTGTTTCAAAATATCATGAGCAGCACTCAACATAACAACATACACAAAATTATTGCAAAGACCAAGAAACCTAAAATAATGCGATATTTGTACGATGCAGCTATGCATTGAACAAAACAAAAAGAATGTACCAAAAACCGATCGAGAAAGATCATCTGCTAGTGGAACAGAGTTCATCATCGAAAAGAAAATAATAATAATAATAACAATAAAAGAAATTCTATAACAATTCATTCGTATGAACACACTATATATTTTTATTCTTTTTTAAAAAGACAAACGCAAAAAGAAAAGAAAACAAGGCGAGGGTGTGTGCTCTTTAGCATGATTGGGAACCTAATAAAATAAATATTTAGAAAATAAAATAAAATCTTAAATTATGCAATCACTGCAAAAAGAAAACTCAAACGTTGGATGAAATATAGATAAACTTGCCAATGGCTAAATTATTTTTACGAGCGAAAACAATTTTAGCAAAATCAAGAGCTCATATATACACCCACACATATGATTTCTATATATTCTATCAGTCAGTATTGAGTAACATATTGAGTTCCTGATAGAATATCTGATGGACAAAAGAAAAGGGTTAATATCTCATGTTTTATTTTATACGATACTAGGTCTTTTTTCATGTATAAATATTTAAGTACTCACTTGTGATATAGTTTGTTCCCCTAATGGAATATCATCTGAACGTAATTGAACACTTTGAGTAATTAAAACTGGATCTGATTCGAGAATAATTCTAAAGAAAAATAAAATTTTGAGTATTTTACCCATCATCACAAATTTCATCTAGTGTGAGCATAACTAAATCAAGATTTTCATAAAGAAATTTTTTTTTTCAACATTCTTTCTTAACATTGTATTTAGTGATTGAAATAAACATGTTAAAACAGCATTTAACATTAACTAAAATTTGAAAATTTTTATAATTACTTCATTTTCATTTGTACTATCAACAACATTAAAAAGTAGATCAACATTATTTCGATAGGCGATTGTTAAATTATCAAGAAGAATAACATCTTCTGAACCTTTGCATGTTTTAGTAAATAATGATTTTTCAAATTCTTTTTGTTCTTTTACTGTTGAAAATAATTGATTATAATACGAAATAAAGAAAAAAAAATTAATGAATATATATAAATAAAATTTAAACTTATTTACTTTAGCTAAAATACGATTACCATCATTGTTTAAAATAATAATTCTTTTAATTACACATAGTGAGAGTGCCTTTAAAATATTAAAATAAGTAAGTTTGAATAATTAACAATAGCAGACAAAAAGAAAAAATTTACAGAACTGTTTTCTAGTACCATATTATTAATTTAAAAACTAAAGGTAGAGTAAAATGATGCACGTTTGTCTTACCAAGCGTATTCTCTTTATCTGAAACAGTCGAAAGACAACATGGAAATGACTCAGGGTTCAGAAATGTTCGCTCACTTTGTTTCAACCATCTATAAAACATATTCAAAAAATTGTTCGGATGCCAGCAACAACTATTGATACTCTTTGAAAGCAAAATCAAATAAAGAGGAATGGAGCAAATTATTAATTCAACTTTTTTTGAACAGGATCATCATTTAGCCTGCATTATTTTATTGTTACAAGTCCCTTAAGGTACCGCTGGAGAACTGTATGACGACGCCACATATTCGGATCTTTATTCTTTTGTTAAAAATCTAATGCAATATTACGACAAAGCAATGCCAAATCAACTGTGGTGTACAAAGATTGGCTTCTATAAATGAAATCATTTGTCCAAGAGCAAATACAAAACAATCTATAGTAAGCTGAAAAATCATACATAAATACTAGATAAGGTGAAGAATAACTTTATATACTGGATAAATTATATATCTGTCTGACATAGATATGATTTTCAAGAGAATCTTCATAAAAGGATTTCTCCCAAGTCTTGTTGAAAATTTGCTTTCATGGAATTGCATTCATTGAGAAAAATATTTATTAATGTTCGAGTACAGAGGACAACATTAAAATGACAATGTTTGATGTTTCATTTATGACATACTTCAATTCAAATATGGATTAAGTGAAAAGATACTCAAATTCCTTCATTAATAACATTCTTTTCAATTATTGTGAAAACAATATTTTTGTGTGTATGAATTTTCTATTCATCTATAAATTGTACTTATAATTGTTCTATATATAAGCAACGCTTAGCTTTGGCATTTGAACGGCTTCAAACCTTAAAAAAAATCAAAGTCCTTAAAAAAAATTAAAAAAGAAGGTTTCGAAGGTCTCATGAGTGTTTACTGATTATCTTTTGATGAGTGAGTAATTCATTCACGAGAAAACAAAAAGCAAATGTGTTCGACGATATCTATCCTGATCTACGTATCATAGAACTTTGACTTATATCGTAGTACAGCTTGATTTTACTTTTCTCACTTTCGTTTGCTTAGTAATAAAATATTTTGCATCACA